GCGTTTAATACGTGGTATTGCGAAATCCAGCTAGTCGGTGAGAATTTCTGGTCACTGAATTTTCTGCTAAAAAATATAATATATAATCGACCAGCCGTTAAGATTGTAAGTGTCGTTTCAAAATCGGCACATGCAACATATGAATTCGTGGCATAACACGGTTGCGATCTATCTAAAAAAACTTATTTTATAATAACGTCCGCAGCTGTCCGGAATGCGACCCTGATTTGACGTTACTCGGATTGATTCACCAAYCATGCTAACCCGCGCGGCGATCTGTCCGTTAACGAATTTATCAGATTTTAATTATTAGAATAAAATCATTACCAAAGRAAATATTGTGAACAAGCGGGCTTGTTGCTTTCTATCGCAATCGCACGACAATAAGTGATGGAAGTCGGTCAGAAATTTATTGTTTCGTTCATTGAGCGCAAACGACAATGCAATTCAAAAAATTACGTCGCTGCAGATCCAAACCCCCGGACGAATTTCATAAGACCACAGGCACATACCATGTATGACTTACGATCTAGACACGACTTCCGGAAGACTCGAAACGGTCTTACGCGGAGGACTGGTCACACTCGTTATGTGGAGTTCGTCACGTGCGCCGCAAAAATCGCTGCTGCAGTGCCCGGCGGTAGGGACTTCCACTTCCGGCGCCGCAGCGACCGCAATCCGGTTTTTTTCAAGGTTCACGCCGTTGCACAACCTGCGAGACACGCCGATGACCACTACCGCGGTACGACTGGTACACCAGTGCAATGCAGTATAATATAAAACTCGGTAATAATGGGCACTTTCGTTTTTTTTTCGTCCGAAAAGCGGCGGCCGCCGCCAATCGCGTTCACTTTCACTCTCGCCACACCGTCTCGGTCTCCCACGGGTTATTCGTCGTTTTTACACAGGCTTTAGTGCACCGTGAATCTCCGCCATGAAACAGCTCGTGCCGTCCGCCGCCGTCGCCGGTCTGCTGGCCGTCCAAACGTTGCTGATGTTCGGCGTCCTGGACTTGAACCGGGCCGAAGTCCGAGCCCAGGAGAGCCCGTTCGAGTTGCCCGTCCAGCTCATCGGTTTCCCYGTCATCATCATCGCCGTCAAGATGTCCAATTTCGTCAAGAAACTCGCGTACGCCCTGAACCCGAGTGAGTACATCCCGCCGTAGCGCACAGCTCTTCGTCGTCCGGAGGTCGCCAAAAATTACCCATCACAAATTATTATTGCGCCTTTATACGATATTGCGATTAAGCTTGYTGTGCCYTTAAATCGCGTGCCGCTGAAAATCTTAACGAAAATTTTGACGCCGACCGTCGATTTTCTAATCGCCGCATGCAGCATACACTTTCACGCGTAACCGAGACGACAGTCTAAACTGGTATTTTGCGCGATTATACAATGTATATTATTATTATTACTGCATTGCGTGTGTGGCGATATTATTACATTAGGACGTACTACGTCATACTATGGACAGGCTGTTGCGATAAAGTCGTAACGCGGAAAGAAGACCACTCGTGCTGCGCGCGCAACACGTAACATCGCAATTCATAATATAATATTATGCGTAATTCGATAGCGCATATAACCGCCTGGTTATAATACTAATAATAACGATAATATGTAAAATAGCTACCTAAATTACATAATAATKCGCTATAGTCCGACCGGAATTATTCGTTATCGCAACGTATTTTTTCGCCGCATGCGTTACCGTGTCCGTCCGGGGACTTCAACGCTACAGGTACAAACTATAGCAATTTTCTTATAATATCTTTTGCTGACAATTTCGTGTCACCTTCGTCGTAGCTTCCTACATTGCAGTGGTGGAGTAAGGATTGTGCTTGGGACAGAGGCTTATCTTGGATCCATTATATAATAGTCACTGGTATGCGCACCGTGTACCTATATAATATATATAATATATATATATACGATTTTAAGCTTCTGCATGAAACTTTCTCAAAGAATGACAATTTTAATAAACGTTTGTTCATTATGACTATAATCACGGAACATTGAAATCAATGTTACAGATGTTCCTGCATTATTCGGTAGGCATAGACAGCTCTGTCTCCCTCTCCCACAAACTAAGTCACACAATTATATATTATTACACCCTCGCAGTCATAAACTCGTATTAAACTCGTATATTGCTCAACCCGGCGACTGTTGAGTTAGTTCCATTTCATTTTCGAGTATTTATTTTGACCTGATCAGTTTGATCGCTTGCGAACCGTAAGCTGTCGGCGACGACAACGCGATGACCTAATCCAACACGCGAATGTATTACATAATCGTTAATGGCCGTGTATGGATCGTTGTAATTGTTGTTGTGGTTGCTGTTGTGTACACAGTACACACTACACAAATATACGCTAATCGTATGAAGTTAATGGTTAGAGTTTAAAACGACATTGGTCAAAGTATAATATAATAGTTCCTATGGAAAATGAGACGTACGCTACAGGTCGTACACCTATAACAGGTGTGTATTGTATTTTAACACATACATGCTAGTAAATCACAAAACGACGCAACATCGTCGTAAATCTCGGGTGTGGAATGCATTACAATTATATTTTAATACTGTATAAATTCATATTTTTCTCCAAGAACAATAATGAATCCTGCACAATATTATGCTTACCTATATATAATGTATGGTTCAATATACCGATGACGGCCCTACTAACACGACCTAACCGAGCGCGCAGTTCTAACGGAAAACGATTTTTTCTCCTAATATACAATAAAATAATACACGAGATTGAATTTAATTAAATCGTCAAACAGTAGTTATTAGGGAAAAACACTAATTCCTATCCATAATTTATGACGATGAGCATGTGACCTCACGTTAAACTGTATATTTCATACATTTCCCATTAACCTTAGATATTATTAAAATCAAACGATTTATGGTTTTTTTTTTCTATATCGATAGCAGAATTTAAAGTCTCAACTTAAGATACTACGAATTACTTTTTCCGTTGATTTATCAATAAATGCATTAAATCATAATATTATTAACTAAGCCACTGCAAAAATATATGTAACGTTTTTAAATTTTTAAAATCAAGTTTTAACAAGTGAATGTTCAAATGTATGTGMAACTTGTTAGTAGTATCTAAATAAGACAATATTATACAATTAAGAACCCAAAATTATTTCATAATCCAAGTCACACATAGATCAATGACTATACAGTATACATACATCTAGGTTGTTATGAAAATATGTCTTCTAATGTCTTCAAGTATTATTAAAATTAAAATATCATTCCACCGTGCTATATTGTCGTGTAGGTACCAATTAACCGCCAATCATTAGATAGGTAATAATAATATTAGTACTAAAGACGAGTCACATTGTTAATGGACCAAGTGCTCGGATCACAAACTATTACAATAATAATCATAAAAAAAAAAAATAGGAATGCACTGCACGTCGTCGTCACAAGTTACGCAAACGATTTCGTATCGTAGGTACATTTATTACTACAACGCGGTCGTTATTTGACGTGACGCACGCGTGTGTGCTCGGTGTACACATGACAATGACGTTGCGTAAAAAAACTAAAATCGTAAATGAGTGTGGAGTGTTTAGTAAAAAAACAAAATCGCTTAAAAGTAAAAAAAAATTACACGGCGTCTCCAGGCGGGCCTACTATTATAAGTGTAGTGTTGTATTGTAATTCATGATACAGCAGTGAGTCTCATTCAATATCGCGTTATCATTTCGACGCGATTAAATTTTATACTGAAATCATAATATTATTGCAATACGATAAGGTTTTCGTTTTCGTTTTATAATTCCAATAAACCTGAGTCCTATATGATTATTAACATTCAGTGATCAAATTAAGAGAAACTATAGTTGTCAATACTATTATAACCGTYAAAGAAATGGCCAACASGTGAATATAATATTATCTGTACGTCAAAACACTRTTCACCGCGAGAATRATCAMACAATTTTTAAAAAGAATTGTGCATGTGTCCAACATATTAGTATATTATTTACCAATTTTGCATTCGGAAAACCAATTTRGTCTTGTCGTAATTACAATATTAGAGTAAATTATTGTTTATTTAAAAATATATAACGAATCAAAGTAGAAATATTCTTAAAAGTTCCAAAAATCAGAATATGAATAAAAATGCATTCTAATACAGTTATACGGCTATTAAAGGATAAAATGGGGTGAATATGCACGTACGATTGTCGCATTACTTACAGTTATATTATGATATTAAAAATTTCATCGACGTTTCAGAAACCATGTTTAATATATTTTAATTTAATWACAAAATCCTCCTTATCTGGTCAGTATATCATATATGATTGAAATTGTTTAAATAGCAGGAAGAACGAGTCTTATTATTTACATTTCGATTCAGTCACCTGCCATCGTGTGACGAGTAATCTGCTTGTAAAAATATATAATACAATATCTGCAATAATACAAAATTCGAAGTCAGACGTCAAATATTCGATTGTTTAAAATCAAAATAAAATATTTCAATGATTCAAATGAAACAACGCAGGCCCCGTTATGCTCAAGGATCTACGACTACATAATTATTATTGTCATGATCTATATTTGCTGTATACATTTTACTTCTACAAATTTTTATAATATACTCATAATACCAATCTGTCAACTTAATGTACCGTYGTCATGTTATACGTGTCGCAGGCACCTACAGGAGAAAGGCTAAGAGGGACTTGCAAGGTGTGATGTCGCCCACCACAACCTTGTCGTCTTTGGACGTGCTCAAGGCCCAGGAGATGATACTGAAGGAAATGGGTCCGGACGTGTGTGTYTACGAGAAGGTGTGCTCCGCGTACGCCGAAGCGGCAGCGCTCGCCAAAAAGGATCGCAACAGTGGCAAGTCCAGGGTGGACCGGATAGACTGGGAAAAGATCATCAGGTGAGTGATGTCGATTATTAGATACGTCAAAAACCCCTATGAATTGAACGATTTAACGATTGTAAAAAAAAGTGATTTCTAGACGGACTTGTTTGCATATTACATTATACACATATGCATCAATATTGATAATATATGCGTACTTTCAATATTATGTTTAAAGGGCATAAGTATAAAAATATTATTTTTCCTTAAAAATTAAAAAACTATTATATAATATTGATTTTATAATTGGTTTTTAAATATTATGTTAAGTAGTATTTTAGTGAATTTAATCGATTTCTAAGTGCATTTAAACTGTATTTTTTTGAAATATCAAATAATAAATATATTTTATTATTATTCATATTTTACTATACAAATATGTTTTTAATGCATTCAGTTTACAGCATTAAAAAGGTAGACAAGTGGGTACCACTCTGCAGTTGTATTGTTGTTGTAAGTTT